AATGTGAGAATGTGTCTCTGAAGTGTGTGAAAGGCTGAGGACTTGATCGATGTCGTACTCGGTCAAATAATTAAAACAGATAAATGTAGTACTAGGAAGTTTTCCTAGGTCGTCTTCCAAAGACCACAAATTCCTATCAAAGCTTGTCAATTTTTCGAATTAGAACAGAATTAAAAGGGGAATTTTTTATATTTAAAATATTAGATGAACCAAAACGAAAACAGATTATAAAAATGCGGATTAAAAACATATTAGAATGCAATTGATTTCCTAATTTCAATGCAGTGTCACTTATCCTAGGTTATGAAATTAATTCGAAATTAACCAACTAATTGAAGATAAATCCCAAATTATATTCCAATTCAAAATTAATCAACTAAGCGAAGATTAATCCCAAATTAGCTTTAACCCTTATTCCAATATGAAATTAACCAACTAAGCGAAGATTAACCCCAAATTATCCTTATACAATTAAGCAAACTATGATATTAGTTTCGGTTTATTAAGCATAAACAAATTATAATTTAACACTGAGATTAAGAGATGAAGAGTTAAGAGAACAAATGAAATAGAAGAACAAAACCTCAAAGATCTACTGCATTCTCCTCATAAAATCAATATACAGATTTAGCTATCCATCAACACTTAATTATCACAATAATAGGAAATTGGAATTTAATTACGAAATCGGAATGCAATTAAATTAAGAAATTGAATTTGAATACTGAATTACCAAAATTTAAATTGCAGTAGGAAATTGAAATTGAAAATTCAGAAAACTGAATACATGCAAAATTGAAATTGCAATTGGAATTTGAAATTGAACCTGAACTATAGAATTGAAAACGAATTGTAGAATTGAAATTGAACAAAGTGCATAACAAACCAAAATAAAACTCTACGTAAAACCCTAGTGTCGATGCTACCTCCGTACGTTTATTCTCTACATAAAACCCCTAATCTCTTTAGTCTTTCTCTGCATGGCTATTTAACCTAGGTTACTCCAATTGGGCTCATAACAATTCTGATCCACTCTCTGCATTGGATCATCTAAAGACAAATTGGCCCAAAACATAAAATATGATAAAATGAAACCCAAATCCAGACACCTGCAGGGCAGCTTCCGTGGTGGTTTTTCGAACTCAACTTTTGCCATTTTCCGATTGGACTTGGACAATTCACGTGAGAGAGACATTTGTAGGCTTGCCTCTTAGCTTTACAACGAAGTTTGAATTTCTCAATTTGGAGTTCTGTAGCTCCAAATATAGCTTTATTACTGAGTAAAGGTCAAACTGCCACTAAATACGAAAATTAATTAGTTTTACAATTAAGTTCATAATTCAAATGACAATTAACAAACATCATACTACCACGAAATTAAGTCTAAATGTGAGAGTAATTAGGGTCATAATGATATGTATTTACGCAATAAAATATGTTCCACCAAATACCCCCATACTTAGCCTTTTGCACTTCTGGGCAAAATCATGAAATGCAGCAGAGCAGGGAAACAAATCCAAAAACATTTAAAGAAAAACATGCAAAGGACAGAAACAAAAAAAAAAAACATAAACAGATTTACATACTCTTTAATAACCTCCAACATTCAAAGAGTAAAAGAAACCAGACATCCCCAAATAATTCAAAACATGTCAAGAAAATCAATTTATTCAAGAGGTGAATGAAAATCAACATAACCTCACAAGATATGCACTATATCACTCAAATGTTTAGGCTATTATTTACTCTCAAAGCATCCATGAAAAACAAACACCACATAGACTTGGCAAGTCTCTAAAATCAATAACCAAAAACACATGCACAAACACTACAAGAAATATTGAAATTACCGACGGTCAAAATCCGTCGGTAATAACAAAACTCCATCGGTAAATAGATATTATCGACGGAATTCTTACGACCAAAAATCGTCAGAAATTGGGTTGTCGGTAAATATTATCGACGGATTTAAATAGGCATGGCAACGGGGGGCGGGGCGGGTTTTGTCTCCCCGATCCCCGCCCCCGACTTTTTTAACCATTCCCGTCTCCTCCCCCGATCCTCGCCGGGGTTAAAAATTAAGTCTCCATCCCCGTCTCCACTGGGTTTCGGGTTCCTCGCCCCGCCCGTCCCCGTCCCCGATCTATATTATTTTTAAAAAGATAATTACATTTATAATAAATTAATTTTATTATGTATTTTTTATATATAAATAAATTTTTATAATTTATAATTATTATTAATTAAATATACATTTTAATTTATTATATTTATATTAAAATATGTATGTAAAAAATATTTAATTTTTTATTTATTTATATATATAGAGAGAGAATATTTATAACATTATTATTATTATTATTATTATTATTATTATTATTATTATTATTATTATACTATTCAAATATTTGAATACTTATAACATTATTATTATAATACTGTATTCAAACATTTAATTATATATATAAGTTAATTCATTTTTAAGTTGTCATTTAAAAATATGAAATATATAGTTTATAAGAAAATATTTAATAAGTTAATTCTTATTTAATTAGTTTGAAGTAATAAAAGTTTAAATTATCAATTTCTTTTAATCATTTAAAATATAATTATTTTATTAAAATAAAATTTGATATATGATAAATAAGAATAATAAGATAAAAAAATATTACATAATAAAACCTAATAAATATAAATTATAAATAAAATAATATTAGTTACTACTAAGATTTATGTAAAATATTTAGAAAATGATATAGAAGAAAAAAAATTTACTTTGTGTTCATCAAATTAATTGAAAAGATTAAAAAAATAAATAAATTGATGGGAGAAATTAAGGAAATGTAAAAATCAGAAAAAAAATTAAAAGTGGGTAGAAGAAAAATAAAAATTAGTGAAATATTAAAAAAATAACCTTATATGTAATAGAAAAAGAAAAGAAAATACATTTAAAGTATTAATATTTTAAATTTAAATATAAAGTCGGGCGGGGACAAGTCGGTCCCCACTGGTACGGGTTTAATTGTCATCCCTAGATTTAAATAGTCCGTCGATAACGAGTATCTTAGAGTTAGAGGCTGATACTCCAACCACGAAGCTACTAAATTTTTTTTATAATAATTTACAAATAAATTATATTTATATACAAATATATATATATATATATATATATATTTATATATTTATATATAATTAAATATTTATTTTTTTAAATGATTTAATTTAATAAATTATTATAAATTAATCTAATTATGATTAAATTAAATTATTAAATAAAAAAATATTTAATTTTTAATTAGGTGAATAATTAATTTATCAGAATATATTAAGTAAATATTATATAATTTTACCAACAGATATATCCGTCGGTAATTATTTGTTAATTTACCGATGGATTTACCGATGGAAATATTCGTCGGTAAATAATTGTTAATTTACTCGATGAATTTATCGACAGATATATTCGTCTGTAATTAGTTGTTAATTTATCGATGTCGGTAACTAATTATTATTTTACCGATGGATATATCCGTCGGTAAGACCAAATTCTATATCCGTCGGTAATTTTCGTCGATAATTACTCATTTTCCGATGGCTACAAATCCATCGGTAAAAATCCGTCAGAAATATACGATTTTATTGTAGTGAAAATGATCAAAAGGTGTTTCCAAGGTTGTAATGAGGTCAAGGACAAGGTGGAGGATATCATATGGGACATAGCTAAGAACCTTAGGAATTAGAGGAGAAATGAGGAATAAGTAAAAAATAAACATCAGAGTATATGCTCAAAGACCTCTAATACCAATCCTTTCAATTTCCTTTTCCTCAACAACACTTTTCTTTCTTTTGAACTTTTTTTTTTTTGAAAAATTAAATTGCATAAACTGTACATTAAGGAACCAACTAGCCAGTATATCATCTAATGAAAACACACCCGTACACTTATTCAGTTATTTCCAAAACGATTCCAAAGCTCCAAAAATCCCTAAGGTTAAGGTAATCATGGGTTTTTCACTTGAGGCTTGTAATGAGCTTAAAAAAAGTAAAGGGAAACATAGGCTCAAAGGGGCTATCAAGGGAATTGATTCAGGGTAGGCTTATTTTGCTAGAGGTTAATCACAACAAAAATTGCCTTAATCAGCTCCAAACATGCATGTGAATCAAGAAACATAAAAAAAAATAGTCAAACCAAGGCCACTGTGCAAGCAATCAAGAGGCATAACACACAAGAAAGAAAGAATAGAGAGTGTCTCAAAACCTCACATAGGGTAAATCTGTCACTTCCAATTCAACCTCTCAAACCTCAAAATCAACTTGGCATGCAAAGAAGAACAAGGATTTCAATCCATAAAGTATCAAGCAACTTATATCCAAGAGTGAAGAAAATTCTCAAAACCTAAACAAAACCCAAAAATTCAAGAGAAGCATGCAAAATGTACACAAAACAAAGAAAACTAAAAATCCTAAACAAAGAACAGTCTCCCCCACACTTAAATCAGTCATTGTCCTCAATGTAAACACAATCATATCTACTAAACAAATATGACAAGCAAGATAAAAGAGTTAAAGGAGAAACATAGTCATTATTCCTGGTGGCTTTGGCTTCCACCCATTTTGAAACAGAGTCAACTGCAAGGATAATATAATAAAAACCAAAAGAAGCAGGGAAAGGACCCATGAAATCAATACCCCATACATCAAACACCTCACAAAATAACATTGGTTGCTAAGGCATCTGCTGTCTCCATGTAAGGGATCCTCCTGCTCTCTGACATTGCTCACAAGTGCTGCAAATCCTCCATGCATCCTTGAAGATGGTGGGCTAGTAGAAACCACAGTCAAAAACCTTACGAGTTGTCCTCTGAATGCCAAGATGACCACCGGTTGCAGTAGAATGACAAAATTTTAGCACCGAGTCGATCTCCTGATTTGGTATGTATCTCCTAATTACCTGGTCACTTCACAACTTCCACAGATAGGGGTGGGCATGGATCGGTATACTACGAAGAATGGCTCAAAACTGGTGCACCTCTCGATTTGTCAGGTATACTACGAAGAATGGCATGGATCGGTAGGAAATACCATTCTGGCACAATATGAGGCGGGGTGGGCATCAGATTAGCAGGTATATAATTGTCGTGATGGCCCAAAACATTAGGAGCATAAAAAATCCAAATGGAAAAAAAGATAGCAAAAGACACCCAACCTACTAGATCCTTTACATAAAAATAAGGGTAAAAAGAAATTTGATCCATCTCTGAATGTACACCCAATGGATTATTTGATCTATATTGATGCAATGTGGCCAGATGAAGAAGACCGACGCCTACTAAAAGAAAGGGGAGTAAATGATGAAGACTAAAAAAACAATTTAAGGTGGCATTATCCACGGAGTAACCACCCCAAAGCCAAGTCACTATGGTATCTCCTACTACAGGTATGGCGCTAGCTAAGCTTATAATTACTGTAGCTCCCCAAAAGCTCATCTGACCCCCAAGGTAGTACATATCCTGTAAAAGTTGTCACAATCATTAACCTCGCATGATATAGACCACGAAAAATATGAAGGTGAACCACAATGAGAAACATACTTGCCCCATTAGCATGCATATAACGGAGCAACCAACCCCCTTCAACATCTCTCATAACGTGTGTCATCCCATATATAATACTTAGCATCGCTCTTAAGTTTATCATTTTGTGCTCTAGATGACATGGGAGGAAAAATAGAAGCAACTAAATAATCTACAATGTTTACGAACCAAGGGGTGGGGAAAGAGTTGGATATAATAAACAAATTTTCATCGGGAAAGTCATCCCGGATGGGCAAAACATCACCATGAGCCTCATCTTTCTCAATCCTACTGAGATGGTCTGCTACCAAATTTTGGGCTCCACTTTTGTCATGGATATCTAAATTAAAATCCTGTAGCCATAACATCCACTTAATCATTCGAGGCTTCAATTTAGCCTTCTTCAATAGGTACTTCAGAGCTGCATGGTCAGTGAACACAATAACTCGAGAACCAAACAAATATGACCTAAATTTATCCAAAGCAAAAACAATGTCCAATAACTATTTCTCAGTGGTGGTGTAGTTAGCTTGGGCAGCATCTAAAGTCCTGGAAGCATAGTAGATAACTCTAGGCAGCTTATCCACTTTCTGAGCCAAGATAGCACCCAGTGCATAATTTGATGCATCACACATTAACTCGAAGGGGGTTGTCCAATCTGGTGCCTGAATGATAGGAGTGGTGGTCAGAGCACTCTTGAGGCAGTCAAAGGCCTCCTTGTACCTGTCATCAAAGATAAAATCAACATCCTTCTGCAGCAAGTTGGATAATGGTAGGGCCTTCTTACTGAAATCTTTGATAAAGTGCCTGTAGAATCGTGCATGACCAAGAAAAGAACAAACCTCTCGCACGCAATAAGGGTAAGGCAGTTGTGAAATAACAAATATTTTGGCAGGATCTACTTCTATGCCCTTACTGAAAATGATATGCCCTGAAACTATACCCTACTCAACCATGAAATGACATTTCTCAAAATTAAGAATAAGGTTAGTTTCAATGCATCTATGAAGTACTCTATCCAAACTATGCAGACATGTATCAAAAGAGGATCCAAACACAGTAAAATCATCCATAAATACCTCTATATAATTTTCAAGAAAATCACTGAAAATACCAAGCATGCACTGCTGGAATGTGCCAGGGGCATTGCATAAGCCAAAAGGCATCCTCCTATAGGCAAAAATGCTAAAGGGACAAGTAAATGTGGTCTTTTCTTGATCCTCAGGAGCAATGTGTATTTGAAAGTAGCCAGAGAAACCATCAAGAAAATAGTAATGAGATTTACCTGCTAACTGCTCAAGTATATGATTAATGAAAGGTAGTGGAAAATGATCTTTTCTGGTTGCTTGATTTAGCCTCTGGTAGTCAATGCAGACTCTCCAACTATTTTGCAATCTGGTGGGAATGAATTCATCCCTCTCATTTTTTACAATAGTGAGGCCTATCTTTTTTGGAACCACCTGAACTAGACTCAGCCATCGACTATCAGAAATAGGGTAAATAATCTCAGATTGTAGAAGCTTGGTCACCTCCTTCTTCACGACATCTAAGATGATAGGATTTAGTCGCCTTTGTGGCTGTCTCACTAGTTTGGTTCCATCCTCCAATAAAATCCTATGCATGCATGTGGATGGACTAATTCTAGGAAGATCAGCCAAAGTCCATCCAATGGCCTTTTTCCATAATTTAAACACTTGCAACAATATTTCCTCTTCATCAGCAGTGAGGGAGGTCGAGATAATCATTGGTTTCTTATCATCATTCTCCAAGTAAGCATACTTGAGGTTCTCTGGTAGGAGTTTTAACTCTAGTATGGGTGTTCGCTGAACAACAGAAGGAACTAAAGAAGGAGAAGGAATGGTCTCCACAACTTGTAACCTGACCTGAAAGTCAAATTCATGAGTACTTCTTGCAACAAGGTTAATGCATTCTGGGTCTTTACACTTCTCAGGAATTTGAGGAACAAATTTACATATTAGTGCTGACACATTTCTGCCCATGCTAATCCGCTCATTTCCCTTTAGTTTTCTATTGTAAGTACACAACTCCTTCAGGAACTTGGCATATCTAGGAATTTGCTTGATGACATCCAAAAGAGGAATGTTCACCTCCACCTTCCTGAATGTTTCTAGAATCTCTTTGTATACCTCTTCCATCTTTTTACTTGAAATTACTCTTGGAGGGAATGGAAGAGGGATAGGAGGTTGATGCAGTTGCTGACTATTCTATGCAGTAGAACTGAGGATTCTATACTACCACTTGCAGGTTCCTTTTCCTCAGGACACTTTATCTTTGATGCAGCACTGTTATCTATCTGAGGTGCAGGCACAAATACTGGTACAGGTGTAGCTATTGGGATATCAACCTGCTTGTCAGACCTCAAAGTGATGGCACTGACATTTTTCGAATTCTGTAGTGTCTGGGATGACAATCTATCAGAATTCTAGGACTGTACCTGATTAAGTTGAGCAGCCATCTGCCCCATTTGATTTGTCAAACTCTGAATGGAAGTTTTTGTCTCCTGTTGGAACTTCATATTTTGTAGGAACATCTTCCTGACCAGTTCTTCAAGTGAAGGTTGAGGTGGAGCTGGTGTTGTTATTGGAGCTTCATTTTGTCTTTGATATTGCTGCTGAAAAGGTGGAGGAACATATCTGCTTGGCCCAGCATTGTTTTGGAAGGTGGGAGGATGTTGTTGTTGTTGATTAGACCATCTCAGGTTTGGGTGATTTCTCCAACCTGGATTGTATCTATTTGAGGTCAAGTCAAAATTTTGCTGCTACGTGGACCTCTGTTGTTGAAAATGTTTGCAGCATAAGCTTGGGGAGCATCAAAACCTGTAGTTTGTTGCAATGATGGACAAACATCTATATAAATGATCATTTGAAGTGCAGATGTCACAAAATCTTGCAGCAGGTGCAGTTCTCTAATTTGCAGCAAGTTGGTTGACCAGTGTGGTGAGAGCATCAATCATACTCTCCAGCGTTTGTGCAGTTGTATCCGAGGAACCAACATCATGAACTCCTCAATCAGTCCTCTAGCAGCAACAGGTGTCATATCTCCTAAGGCTCCTCCACTGGCTGCATCAATCATGCTTCTGTCCATGATGTTTAGCCCCTCATAAAAATACTGTAGTAACAATTGCTCAGAAATCTGATGATGAGGACAACTAGCACAAAGACTTTTAAATCTTTCCCAATACTCATACAAGCTCTCTCTAGCAGTTTGCTTGATTCCAGAAATATCCCTTTGAATAGCAGTGGTCCTGGATGCAGGGAAGAATTTGTCTAGGAACACTCTCTTCAGGACATCCCAGCTAGTAATGGACCTGGGATCTAAGTAGTACAATCCTTTGCAACTCCCTCCAAGGAATGAGAAAAAGCCTTCAGAAACACATGGTCTTCTTGAACATTCGCAGGTTTCATGGTGGAACATATAATGTGAAATTTCTTTAAATGACTTGGGCAACAAGTGTATGAGTCCAGTTTTAAGAACATAAGGTACATCTTCATTAGGATACTGGATACATAAGTTATCATAAGTGAATTCAGGAGCAGTAAGCTCCCTAAGTGTTCTCTCACGAGGTCCAGCATATTGATCACCCATGTTATCAGTTTGGAAATTATTAGAAGAAGGTGTATTAGGTGTAGTACTATCCCTAAGACTATCTAATGGTTCAGACTCAAGAGATGAATTCCTAGAATGTCTAACTAATTTATGAAAGGTTTTGTCTATCCAGGTAGGTTTCCAGGAAAGAGAGGTGGGTCACTAATGGACACGCTTAAGTATCAAGTCTTTCCTAGCCAGAACCCTCCTAGACATTCACTCTCACACTACCAAGTTATATCCAGAGTTTCCTATGAGAATGGTTTTCAAGAATTTTCTTGCAAAATTGATTTAGGAAATAAACAATAAAGATTATAATAACTTTTTTTAAATAAAGCTAGAAAAACAAATTTGAATAAAAAAAATTAAACTTTTTGAATTTTTTTCAAAAAATTAAACTAAAGAACCCAATAGTGGGTTATCAAAATAGCATTGAGAGAAGTAAGAATGTTAAATAAAATATTCAAAAAACTGAAAATAAAATAAAATATTCAAATAGCTGAAAATAAAATAAAATATTCAAATAACTGAAAATAAAATAAAATATTCAAAAAACTCGAAAATAAAATAAAATATTCAAATAACTGGAAATAAAATAAAATATTCAAATAACTAAAAATAAAATAAAATATTCAAATAACATAAAATAAAAACAGAAACAGTAAAATAAAAATTGAAAACCTAGACGTAAATCTTGGTCCCTAGCAATGATGCCAAATTTGATCGATATTGTACTCAGTCAAATAATTAAAACAGATAAATATAGTACTACGAAGCTTTCCTAGGTCGTCTCCCAAGGATAACAAATTCCTATCAAAGTTTGTCAATTTTTCGAATTAGAACAGAAATAAAAGGGGAATTTTTCAGATTTAAAATATTAGATGAACCAGAACAAAAATAGATAATAAAAATACGGATTAAAAACATATTAGAATGTAATTGATTTCCTGATTTCAATGTAGTGTCACTTATCTTAGGTTATGAAATTAATTCGAAATTAACCAACTAAGCGAAGATAAATCCCAAATTATATTCCAATTCAAAATTAATCAACTAAGCGAAAATTAATCCCAAATTAGCTTTAACGTTTATTCCAATATGAAATTAACCAACTAAGCGAAGATTAACCCCAAATTATCCTTATACAATTAAGCATTGCATACATCACAGAATCTCATCTCGAACACAGAATTAAGCAAGCTGTGATATTAATTTTGGTTTATTAAGCATAAACAAATTATAATTCAATACTGAGATTAAGAGATGAAGAGTTAAGAGAACAACCGAAATAGAAGAACAAAATCTCAAAGATCTACTCTATTCTCCTCAGAAAATCAATATAAAGATTTAGTTATCCATTAACACTTAATTATCACAATAATAAGAAATTGGAATTCAATTATGAAATCGAAATGAAATTAAATTAA